GCACTTAAAGGGCAGATGGAGGAAATGGAACCTATCAAAGAGACCAACAAGGAACTATTTGAGATGTAGGAGGAAAGCCCTGAGAATCCAGGAAGAGGAGAGTTTCAAGAAGCCCAGGGACACTGAGTGCTTTGGTCAAAGGCAGCTGAGGGGTCAGGAAGGATACAGATGGACCTTGCCCACTTGATTGAATAGTTTAGAGGCTCCTACAAAATGTGGTAAGAGTGGATTCCAGGGAACAGTGGTGGAGCCAGGCAGCAGGGAGGGATAATGAACATGAGGTGACACAGAGGAACCATCATGAACATACAAAGGTTTTATAGAAAACATGGCTAGGAAGAAAAGAGTTTGGTAGTTGTGGAAGAACTTAGGGTCCAAGGCAGTTCCAGGAAGTGATGTTGGGCGGACTGAAAACGTATTAAGAGGATGGGCATGGCGGCTTATGCCTCCCAGCACTTTGGACAGATCACTTGAGGTCAGGAGTTCAAGACCAGCCTGGCCAACATGGTGAAACCGTGTCTCTACTAAAAATACAAAAATTATCCAGGCATGGTGTCATGTGTCTGTAATCCCAGCTACTGAGGAGGCTGAGGCAGGAGAATTGCTTGAACCTGGGAGACAGAGGTTGCAGTGAGCTGAGATCGTGCCATTGCACTCCAGCCTAGGCAATGAAGCAAGATGCCATTAAAAAAAGACAATGTATGGAGAACAGTTACATATTGTAAAACTGCATGCAAATCTTAGTTACTAGCTATTAATGGTCTCTGGTATACCCAGCAGCAGCCTGTTTTGAATGTGACAATGTGACATAAGTATGAGTGTGATGAAGAGCAAGGGAGCCATCAGCCTGAGAAAGAAAATAAGAAGTGACATTTGTCTTTGTGCCATAGCTTTCTCCCCTGTCAGTAATTTTCAGTTAATTCCTTATCCACAGAACGATGGTGTTTTGCTCTCTGTTCTCCCCTTACTTGGACTCTCTTCAACACTTGATGAGCTTCGCACTCATTTCCCTTCTGGTGATTAGACCTAAAAAGCAGCCTTCTTCAAGTGGTGATGAGAGGCCCCAGCATTAACACTCTGAAATCTCACAGAAATTATCAGAAACTGAAGAGGCTCTGGTTGGAAAATCTGGGAGTAAGGAAGAAAACTGGAAGAGGAAGGGCAGGGAGGGGAGGGGTGGGGAGCAAAGGCTGAGAGGAGAGGTCATTATAAACTAGAAGGAGGAAGAACAGGGGAGGGAAGGCAAAGAAAGACAAGATAGGAAGGAAGAGAGGAGAGGGGAGGGAAGGGAGGAAGAAGAGAAAGAAAAGAGGGAAGAGATGGGAAGAAGGATGGGGAGTTGGAGGAGAGAGAAGGGAGGCGTCACCTTAAGTTAGAGAGAAGGATAGGTGAGCACATGATAAAGGAGAAGAAAGGGAGGGAGGAAGGCAAAGAAGAGAGGGGAAAGGGAGAGATGGGATAGGTCAGGTTAAACTAGGGAAGTGTCTGAATTAATATTCCATGAAGAGATGCTGGGTGGATTAAAAATGTATCAAGAACAACTACATATTGTAAAACTGCACACAAACCTTAGTTGCTAGTTATTAACACTCTCTGATACAGTCAGCAGCAGGAAGGAAGAGAGGTGGGAAAGAGACAGAATAGGTCAGATTAAACTGGGGAAGTGTCTGAGTTAAAACTGTTTTCAAGAACTACAGTTTGGGCCAGGCACAGTGGCTCACGCCTGTAATCCCAACACTTTGGGAGGCTGAGGCAGGTGGATCACTTGAGGTCAGGAGTTTGAGACCAGCCTGGCCAACATGGTGAAATCCCGTCTCTACTAAAAATACAAAAAATTAGCTGGGCATGGTGGTGCACACCTGTAATCCCAGCTACTGGGGAGGCTGAAGCAGGAGAATCGCTTGAACCCAGGAGGCAGAGGTTGCAGTGAGCCAGCTGGGGTGACAGAACAAGACTCTGTTTCAAAAAAAAAAAAAAATGCAGTTTTATTCTACTCAGGTATCTGTCCTTATTTACTCAACAAATTGCGGAGTATGCACTCTGGGCCAGGGACTATGTTTGACCCTGTGACCATTCTGTCTTCCTGGAGCTGCTTACCAAAGAGAGGCAAGGTTGAGCCCGTCTGCAGGAATTGATTTCCAAGGCAGGAGGTACGTGCAATGGTTGCAGCAAGCATAAGCTCCAAGAGACATCTCACCAGCCCATGACAGCCATGCAAGCTTCCCTGACGGGGAGTCGTCAGGTCTGAAAATTGAGGAGTAGGTATCCCTAGACACAGAGCGCCAGCTATGGCAGAACAGCTCTGGAAGAGGGGCCCCTGCAAGGGGCAGTGCAATGACAGGCTGTCAGGCCTCAGGAGTGCCCAGAGCACCAGTGAGAGCAATGAAAACAGATTAAGATTGAAAAGTAAATTAAAACCACAGTTAAAAGAGCTGGTGTGCCATGTTAAGGACCTGGGACTTACCTTAAGGCCTAAAAAGGTTTTAAACATGGGAGTATCATAACTGTCCTTACATTTTTAAAAGATCATTCTGAAAAACAAGACTGCAAACAAATGTTGAACACTGGTTAATGATACGCATGTTTGAATTACTTAGTAAGACATCAGTTTGCTGATGTCTGCAATTAACTTTGAAATGCATAAAAAATAGTAAGACTGATACCTCAATGCAGAAAAGGATAGTTGGCTAAATATATAATAAAGAAAATATAATAAAATGGTAATGGTGAAATCTAAGTGGTTGGCATATGAGAGTTCACTATAAAATTATCTCAACTTTATGTTTGAAGACTTTCATAATTAAAATACTGATAAAAGAAATAATTATATGAAAAAATGTACCTGCATTCTTATGTTTACAATAGTAAATCAACCTAAGTGTCCATTAACAGATGAATGGATAAAGTAAAAATGGTAATATACAATGAAACACTATTCATCCATACAAAAGAATGAAATCCTGTTTTTTGCAGTAACATGGATGGAACTGAAGCCACTGTCTTAAGTAAAACAACTCAAACAAAAAGTCAAATACTGCATTTTCTCACTTAAAAGTGGAAGCTAGTTTGAATGATGTGTACACATGGACATGGAGCATGGAATAACAGACATTAGAGATTCCGAAGGGCAGGAGGGGGTGAGGTATGAGAAATTATATAATGAGTACAGTGTACGTCACTCGGGTAGTGGGTACACTAAAAGCGTAGACTTCATCACTATGCAATATATCCATGTAACCAAGCTGCACTTGTACCCCTTAAATGTATACAAATTTAAAACAAATACTGAGAAATCACATCATTATCGCTGCTAGTTAAAGCTTTGGAAAACGACGGGAGAGCTAATTTGGAGGTCGTTGCAGTAGTTAAGGAAAGAGCTGATCATGGTCCAGACAGTAAGTAAGGGATGTGAATTCAAGAGAGATTTAGAAAGTTAAATCAACAGCTCTGGCGATGGGATAGACATAGAGGGAAGGATAAATTAATATCCCTGTTTACTTGCCCTACCCAGAAACCAGATAAGAGTTTAGATCAGGATGGTCAATAGGGTTTTGGGTGAGAATTCATGAGACCCACTAAGAACTCTGAATCACTGAAGTCTCCTCCGGCTGGCCTCTGACATCAGATTCTCACCAGGAGACTCTTGGCTCTAGTTCTTCACTTTCATAGCCTGTTCTCGAACTCAGTGGGCTTCAGGCCCTGGGATGACCTCAGGATGGGAGAGGGGAGGGAAGTCATCACTGCCCAGCATCCCCAGTGGCCCCAATCCAGAGCTACAGCTGGGTTGCTTCACCCACTGCCCTGCCCTCCTCGTCCTCCCTCGGAGCCTTCTGAAGTCTGCTGTACCTCTTCTTTTGGAAATTTAAGTGTTCTGTTTTGCTGTATGTGTGCGTTGTGTTGTTTTAGGAAAAAAAATTGGTTTGAATCAGCTGCTTCAAATGGCTTCATCTACAGTTAGCTTTGATTTATCTCCTTTCAGTCGGAAAACAGATTTCTCTGGAAGACTCAGTCACAATAAGGCAAAAATGAGCTTTGCTCAAGGGTTGCAAGCTGTGTCTGCCGAGAGTAGATGCTGGTCAGCCTGATGGTTCTCTGAAAGGCAGCCTTGATCGCTGGGTAATTCCTCCGTCCCTCCCTCCACCTGCATCTGTGCTGGCTGCAATTTTAGCTCATTTCCTACAGCTTTGTCCTGGAGATCGTTAGCAAGTCGCCCTTCGTCCTTCTTCCCTCCCTATGAAGTATGGTTACCAGAGGACCTATTTCCATTTCAATAATCATGTCTGGATTCTTGGCTCTGGCACCTCCACAGCCATTTTAAACCCCAAATCTCTTACCTTGTCAAGACTTGGAGCTTCCTGTATATTCATGAGGAACTGAACAGAACACGAGAGACTGCTTCTCCCCCTGTCAGGCTATAGAGGGGCTGTTGCCACGTGGTATCTGACCCTCGAAAGGAGGCTCCAGGCTCTGCTTAAGGTGGGGACATGGGAGGCTGGGTTGAAGCATCACTGTCCTAGAATAAAGCCAATACACACCTCACAATGCATGCACAACCGCATTGTAGCATTTAACTTAAAAAAAAAAGCAGACTTCACCTGAGACCCGGACCGTATCTTCTCTTTTGGTCCTGGAGGTTTCCCCCTCATCTGGTCCTTAAGCATTAGATAGGGAGTGGGTATACCTGAGTTTATAACTCAGCTCTGTGACGCGCCACTGAGCCTCAGTTTCCCCACAGCTAAATCAAGGAGGGTGTTCACACTGGTGGACTTTTTCAGACATCAGACCCTGTAGACAGCACCAGCCTCGTGCCTGGGCCCTTGTTTGTGCTCAGCATTCAGTGGCTATGATTACCCAGGTGTGGAGAATGCCATCTTTCAGCATGTTTCACACCTCAATTGTGTAACTGAACACCACAGAATGCATTTTATTCTATTCCATTAAAAAATGCTTTCAGTGTTTTCATTTCCTTAGCATCAGTAAAACTTCAGTGGTTTCAGCTACTTCTCTTTCAGAGAGAGAACATATTATAAAAACAAAGAAATATACTCCTTTTCCAGCATTTTTATCATCTTTGGAACTCTCCCAAGAATCCTATCCAAGTTTCCAGTCTCTCCTTAGCCGAAAAGTATAGTCTTGCAAATATTATCACTGCTGAGAACACTTGTAGAATATTTCACAGGACAGCGATTCCTGTGTGCTAAGGGAGGCTGTTTGGTGGGTTATGCAGGGACTTTCTTGGCTTTGTTCATATATTTAAATTCTTGGGTCTCCAAAGCCATACTTTGTCTCTGCATCCTGCCTGCTGGATCTGCTCTCCAGCAGGGACCCTCGCTCCTGCGGGCTGTGCGAGGACACTGTCAGAAAAGCCACCAGGTGACTGAGCTGATGCTTGGCTAACAGCGAAGGGGCAGGTAGAGCTAGAGAACAGAACATAGGAGGGCGGTGCAGAGAGCGTCTTCAGAGGACAAACGATAAAAGATAAATATAAAAAGATAAAAGAATAAACAATAAAATCATAAGACTTCCTCTGTCCCAGGCACAATGCCAAGCATTTTTTTTTTCCATGAACTTTCTCTTCATTTTTCCCAATCCCATAATAAAAACTTCCTTTACAGAGGGGGAAACTTACAGAGTTTGAGTCATTTTCTCCAGGGCAGTCAGCCAGTGAGTAGCAGAGCTGAGAGCTCAACCCAGCAACTTATTGAAGAGCCCGGATCTTGCCTTTGAGGGGGTTTCTGTTTCTCTGAGGAAGCACACTCCGTCAGAACCCACAGGAGGCCTGCAGAGCTGGGTGAGACAGATGCTATTTAATGGGAGCCACGTGGAGTTCTGCTCCTACACCTGAGCCTAGTAGAAACCAGGCTGGGTAATAAGTGGGCGGGACATGGAACTCCTCTCAGCCTCACAGTCTCAGGGGTAGGAGGGAGCAGGAGCACCTGGAGACTCCTGCCTTGAAAGTGAGTGTGAAGCGAGTGCTGGAAGGGGCAGCATCTTTCCTCCTTTTAGCTAACAGACCTGACTCTTTAAAACTATTTGAGGCCATGGCTGAGTGTGAAACTGGTGCTCTGGAGAGAAACAGCCTTAGATTTAGGCTTGAGAATGGGCTCTGAAGAGGGGGCTGGGCTCTTCCTCCCCAGGATGTTTGAGGATCTTAGCTCAGGGTAGGCTAGAAGTTTCCAATTTCACCATGATGGGTCCAGATCAGGCTCATGCCAGACCTAGGGGGCTGGGGGAGCCATGGGCTCCTGGGTCACCAAACTGAGGGGTCCTGTTTCCTAAGTGGTTGGGAGCTTGAGGCCCAGGACCCCTCTGCCTTTTGCTGTGTTTTGTCTCTCTTTCCTCTACCTCCCATTACCACCACCACCCAGAACAGAGTTGAAAATACAGTACTCAAGGAACACCAAAGGAAGGGCCATCCTCCTCACTCCTGTGGTGGGGATCAGGCTTTGAGTGTGGAAGGTTCCTCCTGCCTGACTTAAGCCTGGGCATGCCCCTGGCTCTACTGGGGCAGCAAGGATCTACTTTGTCAGGCCTCCAAGGATTATTCACCTGCCCTAACTTTCCATGATGCTGCCTCCAACAGAAGGTTCTAGGAACAGCCAGAGTGTTGCAGTCACTTGAGGAAGATTGAAGCCAATCCTGCTTTTTCAGTGCCTGCTGTGATGGAGGGGGTAGAGTGGGGTATCCTTTCCATGGAGTGTGCAGCATGGGTGTCTCTGCAACAGGCCATGGCATGGTGGTGGCTGCTCCTGCTAGAGCTGTGGACAATCATGCCCACCTGGCCTGGGGACGAGCTGCTCAACATCTGCATGGATACCAAACACCACAAGGGAAAGCCTGGCCCAGAAGACAAGCTCTACGATGAGGTACAGAGGCCAGACCTGCAGACGGGACAGGGAAGGTCAGGGAAGGGACATAAATGCCAAGGTAGTCTCTGGACCTCATCAACCCTGATCATTTGGTTCCTGGGGTTGGGATTTGAGCAAAAGCAACTAGATGGAAATAGCCTATGCCTTTTTGAAACCATAGCGCCAAGTGATTCAAAGTTCCCATTTCTGACTGCTCCAGCCACTGGGAAAGCAGGGGCAGATGGTGATCCCAGAGGTCCATTGCTGACCAGCATAGATGAAACAAGCCTTCCTGCCAACACGTCCTGGGGAAGCATATGACTTAAGTGACCTCTCCCCAAGTTCCTAAAGGCAATTGCCAGGGATGTGGGGGGAAGAACACAGCTGGTATGCAACCCCAGATTCCCCTGCGTCTTGCTGAGGCTCTTCTACCTGTTTTGCCCTGAAATGCTTCTGCTGCCTCTCAGGAGCTGAGAGCCTAGAAGTTGTGTTCCTAGAGGGCTGCAGCAGCCTGCGTAAGAAAGTCAGTGTGCAGGCGCCTCTGCTTTCTGGGTAAATATCGAGAGATTATCAGGGTTCCTCTTACGTAGGGGCTTGCCAGCTAAAGGCATCCCACTTGCTCAGGCCTTCTCCTAAGGGACATTTTCATTCCACCGCCCTTCATCCCTAGACACTCAGTGATCCTTGCCCCTTATGCCTGGGCCTTTTGTTTCTTCCTCTGGCTTCAGTGCATCCCCTGGAAGGACAATGCCTGCTGCACATTCAGGACAAGCTGGGAAGCCCACCTAGATGTGTCTCCACTCTACAACTTCAGCCTGTTTCACTGTGGACTGCTGATGCCTGGCTGTCGGAAGCACTTCATCCAGGCCATCTGCTTCTATGAGTGCTCCCCAAACCTGGGGCCCTGGATCCGGCCAGTGGGTAGCCTGGGGTGGGAGGTAGGAGGCAGATCTGTGCAATGCCGTGTTATTATGCTAACAGCCAGCGCTTTCATCCAATCTTGTGCTGAAGCCTCCAAGATGCTAGTAAGAAGAGCAGGTATTATCTCCCTGCGGACAAGAGCAGAGCCAGAGGCCCCTGCTGGAGAACCACATGGGGGAGGCTGTTCCGACAACAGTGGAATGAGGGGCTATCACCAAGGGAAGCTTGGTGGAGTTAGATGATCCCAAGTTTCAGTCTCATGTTCCTTACCTACCAGCTGTACAGCCCAGGACAAACTATTAAATCTCTTAGCCTCATTGGTATTATTTGTAAAATAGTACTTAGAGACTGTATAAAAGATGATGTACACATGGTGCCTGGCACAAATACCACTGTAGCTATTAGTCATCTTCACTTATCTGCTATTAATGTTCGGATCTCCGCTATGACTACATGCAGGCGGCCCCAAGTGGGCAGGGAGAGCGAGTTGTGAACGCACCGCTGTGCCAGGAGGACTGTAGGGAGTGGTGGGAAGACTGTCGCACATCTTACACCTGCAAGTCCAACTGGCGTGGCGGCTGGGACTGGAGTCAGGGTGAGTGGTGCTGACAAGGCCTTGGGTGGGGGGAGCAGGCTCCTTGGTGGCCCCCACAAGGGGGTAAATGCAAAGGCTAGGGATGAGGGAGTAGGAGGTAAGCTGTCCCTCCTCCATCTCCTGCAGGGAAGAACCGCTGCCCCAAAGGGGCCCAGTGCCTCCCTTTCTCCCATTACTTCCCCACCCCAGCTGACCTGTGTGAGAAGACTTGGAGCAATTCCTTCAAGGCCAGCCCTGAGCGACGGAACAGCGGGAGGTGTCTCCAGAAGTGGTTTGAGCCTGCTCAGGGCAACCCCAACGTGGCCGTGGCCCACCTCTTTGCCAGCCCTGCCCCATCCTGGGAACTGTCCTACGCCCTCATTGTCTGCTCCCAGTTGCTGCCTTTCCTTTCCTGAGAGCCTTCCTACTCCCTCCCATACTCCTGCACATCCACCAAATATGGGTCAGGCCAGGCCATGGCCACCTCTTTCCTCAGGCCTTCCCCTAAAAGCAGTGGCACAGGCTAGGGACTGCAGTCCCACCTAGTCCCCAGCCCGTGCCACTGCTCCTAGGGAAGGGCCTGAGGAAGGAAGTGACCACTGAGGCTTCAGCGGCTGGTGCCTGAGCCCTGTACATTTGGTCTGAGGCCCCTTCCACTGCTCTGCTCTGCCGTAGCTGGCCTGGGAGGCAGCTGGGGGCTGGGAGTGGCAAGGTGACTGGCCCCCACCTGCCTTGAGGGATGGGAGCTTTCAAGGGGCTCGAGGATCTTCCTGTCCAGTGCACGCCCACCCCTTTCTGTGACAGCTGATAGTGGCAGCCCTGGCCTCCCGTCCTCCAGTGGTGTCTCCAATAAATCAGCGGTTGACCTCTCCTCTGCTTGACTTCCTGTCTTAGCTTTATGGGCAGGGACCCAACATGCACACAGCGGGAGTCAGTTTGCCTGCTGCACCGAAGTCTCAAAGTTAGGTTGTTACTTGCCTCACAATTATTAACTTCTTAATATCTGCTGCACATCCTCACAACACCTCTCTGATGGGAGTACTTTCAATGCCCCCTTTTTTTCAATAAGTGACACTCCATACAAAGGACCTAAAGGCAGGGCAAGGGATGGGGCCACCGGGCACATCAGCTCTATTTTGGCTACCAAAATTGAAGCAGCTACGTTGACTGCTTCCAGGCTTCCCTCTTTCCTTTTAACCCATTCATTTTACCCCCAGAATCACAGCACACTGGTCTAAAATTTTGGAAACCCAAGTTCTAATCTGGCCTTTCTGCTTTCTATGTGACTTTGGGCAACTCCTGTGATCTTCATTAAGATTGCCTTGGTTTCTCTCTCTGCTGAAGGGAATGAGTTAGTTGGATTTAGCTTATGAAAAAGAAGGAAGAAAAAGGAAAAAGCTAGCAACCAGTTTTCCAGGAGATAGTGCATGCTCCTCAGTGTGCCACGACCTCCAGAAGGGAGCGTTAGAATTGAACTGGGGGCAGGGCCCTGACCTCACACCTCGGCTGTAAGTGGACCAGCAGCCGACCTACCCACCCAGCACCTTCCAGAGCCTGGAGCCAGGCGACTTCCCAGCACTAGTTAATGCTTTCCCCACAACATTTTCTTTGACAAAGAGAAGGTTCTAGCTTGGCTGCACTTGATGTGACTGGCTTTTCTAACAACTGCTCATTCTTGCCAGGCACCAGCCAGCCCCGCTCATTGGTTAAACTCAGCCTCCATTCCTTCTGCACCGACCTCACAGGCTCATCTACTGAGCAGACCTTGTCTCAGGAGAGGCACTAGAGTCACAAAACCAACAAAGAGAGTCCTGCTAAGCACGGCCCTTAGCGTCCAGAGTAGAAGACAGATGACAGCTGAAGGTGGAAGATGATGTTCATAGGAAGTCTGAAAGAAAGGAGCTGGGTGGGGGTTCCTGAGAAAGCCTCACAAAGGGGTGAGTGAGGCAGGAGCCCCAGAGAAGGAGGGTAGCTCACTGAGAACAGAAGGGAAGTGCTAGTCAGAACCCAGTGAAGGCCCCAAGGTATGAGCCATATGAAGCAGGACCTTCAATTGCTCTTAAATTAATCAATAATTTATGACTTCAAAAGTACATATAAATGTATCAAAAAATCTTTTAAAGAGCTTAAGAAATTTAAAATCTCTTAAAAATTGAAAACTGAGGTATCTGTGGCTGTGTGCTTGATAATAAAGCAGAGAGGTTAATGCCCTTTTTAAAGTGTTTATAAAGAATGGCCAAAGGAAGGTCAACATTGGAGTAGACAAAACAAGAGTAGTCAGGAAGCCCTAATAATTTCATACTTACCCATCACTTACCACGCACCCAGGATCTCTGGGAAGTATGTAATATATGTTGGCTCATTTGATCCTCACAAAAGCCTTGTTATCCTCGTTGTATTATAATATTTTCCTCATTTATTATTATTCTCCTTTTTCAGATTGGGACATAAATATAAGTAGGTTTGAAACCAGCTAAGTCTGAACCCACAGTTCCAGCTCACGGGCTTACACTGAGCAGCCTGGTCTGTAGTTGAGTGGAACTGAAGTGGATTTGGGAGTGGGTGGAGAGAGGGGGGGATGGCTTGTGGCAAGTCACAGTCAGGAAAGAGACTGAGTTCTACTCCTTCATGTGATTAGGAGTCATAACCTATGGGTCACATTTGACAGTTTAAACAGGCTTCCAAATTAACCCACCTGGGGAAGGTCTTGTGATTCATGGTGACATCCTGTCCCTGAGAAAGAATCTTATTATGAGTTTCCAAATTGTTGACATAGTGATTAATGTGTAGCCTACCGACATTGAAAAGGGTGCTGATTTATATCTACATATTAAAGTTTTATTGTCTTCCACATAGATATTTTAGCCTGTATGTTGTGATCTGTATCCAATGGCTGTAAGCTACTGTACCCTCCAATTAAAAAGGTCAACTTTGTTATGAGAAGTCCCCTCCCATCTCCTAAACTTTCCGATAAAAAGCCTTTCCACATGTAACAGACTCCAGAAGACTTCCAACTTTGTTAGTGTGTCTTCCTGGGTCAATACTGGCTTCCAATAAATCTTTACAAATTATTTCTGCTTCCAATAAACCTTTACAAATTATTACAGATAGCCTTAATTTTGGTCAACAGGAGGAGTGATGGGTTTTAAGCAATGGGGTAGAACTGTCAGATTTGCAGTTACATTGTATGTTTTAATCAGAGTGATCCATGCACGTGGCTCACACACATAGGCTGAAGGATTTCTAATGCAAAGCAATAGAGTGGCTGCCAGCTCACCTGTTTACCAGGCTCTTACCCAGGGAGCACCCCTTCTAACCATTCCTGGATTCAGCCATGAAAAAGTTACAAAATGTGGCTGACCTTTTCTGTCACACATTCAGACTTTTTGCTCTCAGCTCTGCTTGAATTTCTCAACATAATCTTCCAATCTTTTAAATTCTGGCAATCCACTTCTAATTTCCAGGAGACTTTTTTATTTCCTTGTTTTTCACAGCTTGCTGTTTTTTGATTCATGGATGTAATATCTTCTCAAACCTCACTGAAGATCTAATTAGAATGTTTTTAAGCTTGTTTTGAGTCTCTGAATGACCTGTTTCCTCCAAGGCCAATCTGTTCTGTTTTTTTTTTGATGTTCTGCATACTGCTGGTTCTCTCTGAGTCTGGTGGCTTTGGCTGTCGTATTAAACAGTGAGGAGCTGGGATGATTTTTATAGTGAGCTAGTACAGGTTTCCTCCATGGTTGTATGTAAGGGTCTTCATTTCCCCTAAATAGTAGCCCTACTGGAGACTTCTGGGTATGTGGGAGGAGCTTGTTGAGAGAAAGACCTTGCTTCAGAGTGTGAAAATTAACAAAGGCCACTGAAATAAGAACAAGCAAAGGCTATTTGTTCAGAGCTTGCAAGGGAAGTCATCACTTGCATATTGCCAGAGACTCAAGGCAGGGAGGAGAGTGGGAAAGATTTAGAGCGGATAAAAGGGAAAGCTTTGGCCAGGTGCTGTGGCTCCTATAATCCCAGCACTTTGGGAGACTGCGGTGGGCACATCACCTGCGATCAGGAGTTTGAGACCATCCTGGCCAACATAGTGAAACCCTGTCTCTACTAAAAATACAAAAAATTAGCTGGGCATGGTGGTGGGCACCTGTAAGCCCAGCTACTCAGAAGGCTGAGGCAGGAGAATCGCTTGAACCCAGGAGGCAGAGGTTGCAGTGAGCCGAAATTGCACCACTGCACTCCAGTCTGGGCAACAGTGCAAGACTCCATCTCAAAAAAAAAAGGATGTCTTTGGATCTGCTAGGCTCAGAGGCTGTGTGGGCAGGGGCAAGCTATAGACAGGTTAACTAGAAATGGCCATCCTATGTGTTTGGTTCAGAGAATATATTTAGCTTTTTCTGATTGGTCCTAAGTTGGAAGTGGAGCCAAAAATAAGAAAGCTGGATATTATTAATAAATTCTTGGCCATGTTGGGTCAATTGTGATAGGGGTTATTCTTTGGCTCCCTGGACTGGGTCTTCCTGAAGCCTTTACTGAGTGCAGTTAGTAGGTTGGCTTCTTGGGCTACTTGTGGGTCAGAATCCTGTTTTATATACAGCTACCCATTGTTCATTTGTAGATTCAGTCTTTCAATCCCAGGGATAAAAAAATTAGGGAACCTAACAGTTACTAATCAACTCCTGGCTGTTTGGGTCTGTTGCAGAGCTGATTGTTTGGCTTCCTGGGCCAGTTGCTAGAGAGTTAGTTCTGACATCCTACAAGTCTGATTTACAAGATAGTAGGATGGCTTCTGGGCTGGTTACTATAGATATTGGGTTAGAGCTCTGTTGTTATATGTGGTCTGGCCATTGTCCAGCTGTATATTTAGTCTCTCAAGACCAAGTTAGCAGGTGCTATGTTGGGGTATGGAGCCTTGCATGCCAGAATAGGAATGGTTCTCTCTGGGATGCTAACAACCATATGTGAAATTTCAGCACTATCCAATTAGCTGGGTGTGGTGGCATGCACCTGTAGTCCCAGCTACTTAAGGGGCTGAGGCAGGAGGACTGCTTGAGCCCAGGAGATTGGGGCTGCGATAAGCCAAGATTATACTACCACACTCCGGCCTGGGAGATAGAGTGAGACCCTGTCTCAATACACAAAAACAAAAACAAAACCCAACTTCAGCACTATCCAGAATTTTATTTAATTTTTTAGAGAAGGTTCTAATACCCTAGGGGCTAAAGTTGGCTTGCCTGAGCACTAGATTTGGGCAGGCGATATGGGGGGCGTATAGAGACTTTCTTGCTCTGCCCTCAATGCCTGACAACTCTGAGCCCAGAGCCTCTCAGAGTTTCTGCCTGATGGATTAGCTACTTTGTCCACTACAGCTGCTGCCTCCAATTTCTCTGGCCTCCTTCTTTCCTTTGATGTGCTCTCATGTGCTTCCTGTCTTCTAAATATTTGTTCAAATCCCTAGTTCACTGATTGTTTCCTTCACATGCTCTTGATAAAGGAACATGGAAATAATGATTTTAGTGGAATCCCAGGTGTTCACTCCACTCTCTGTAACCAAAAGCTGTAGATATATTAAAGACTCAATGATTGTTTAAAGATTAGATGAAAAGAAAGGGAAATGGAAGACAAGAAGGATGAGAACAATGCATAGAATGAATTTGCAGGAAAGAAATGAAATCAGAAGGCAGGTGCTAGAAACCTAATTGTGAGCAACTTTCTGTGAGGCATGAAGCCAAGCTACAGTAGAGGCAGTGGACATGAGAGGAGCAGATTTGGGAACCATGAAGATAGAACCAATAGAAGCTTAGAGCGTATTTTTGCATAAAGTGCCACAAAATAGGTATGAGCTGTTAGGGAGGGAGAACTAGCACAAAGAAACCAACAG